CTCTTCACGTAGCATAATTGTTATTTTTTAAGTGTTGGGATAGTAAAGAAGACAGCAAATCTGGACTCTTATAGGTTGAAGCTTAGTTGCACTCTGTTCGCAGGAAATTTTCCTGTTCAAGTGATTGGATTTCGATCCTACATGAACCATTTTGGTATAACATGTTTATTTTTCTATACTCCATCTCAATTCAATGGTTTTTCATTTACCTTCAAAGCACGGTTGTATTTTATGTATATAATTTCGTTATTTTGTTTTGTAAATATACTTTTACTTTACCATATTGGAAATTACGGTCACCCATTTTTTTAAATTCCAATTTCAAAAATCAAATTTAAAATTTATTTATACAGCGGTGGTGAGCCCCACTGCAACAAGCGCCATGCACATCAAAGGTGCTCCCCACTGCTTTGTGCAGCGAGGCTCTCTCGTTGTTTGTGCAACGATGGATTTGGGGTTTTAATGTTTTGGAGTAATTTCTTCTCCGATCTATTTAGCAGGGTGGTTTTTGTAGTTGCAAAGGGGTGGTGGTGAAGTGGTGCGGCGTTTGATTGATGGTGGTGCGTGGTGGTGGGATGGCAGGTGGGGGTGGGGGGTCATGGGGAGCTTTTGTAACCAATTATTTAGGTTATTGTAACCAATAAAATAGTTAATTTGTTATCAATAAATAATATGTGATCAATAAAATAGATACTTTGTGACTAATAAATAATATGCGTCCTATAAAAAATGTGAGATTGCTATTATATTTGTAATTGTGACTCGCAATTTGTTAAATTGTGAACTATAAAATTTGTGATTTGTTTTAGAGAAATAATCTCTGACTTATTAATTTGATAATTTATAACCAAAAAATAAATTGTGACTTATAAAATTTGTGGTTTGTGATCGAAAAATAATGTGTGACTTTTATAATTTGTGATCAATAAATAAATTATGATCTATAAAATTTGTAATTTGTAATCGAGAAATAATGTGTGACTAATTAATTTGATGATTTGTGACCGATAAATAAGTTGTGACCTAAAAAATTGTAATTTGTGACTGCTTTTTTGTGACCACAAATTGTATAGTATTATGACCTTAATATATTTATATAATAAAAAAATTAATTATTTATTTAATTAATAAAATTTGAATTATGATCTTATTTTTGAAATTTTAAAGCAAGATTTAAAATTTTGAAATTGTATCTTCTAATTACCTTATACATGTATTGTTTCCTTTTAGTAAGAGCATGTTTGACAACCATTATTGTAGGGAAAAATGAGTTTTGAATAGTAATTTTTTGAAGAATATGTGGTTCAAAAGTAGAGAAAAAATTTTGATATAGGGCAGGACACTGGATAGCGTAACACAAAATATGTACATTCAAGGCACAACATGTGTGTATTCATGGCTTTTTTTTTAAGCAACGCATTTAATATAAATACGACAAAATAAAGAAATTACAAGTTAAAAAGTTATAAAAAAATACTAAACAAATTGTTGATCTAAAAAAAATGTTGCCAACAAATGCAAGACTCATTCGTGCATACGTAAGCTAGATCCAACACACAAAGGTTGATCAACGGTCGGGATCATTCCAAAATTGGACGTGGGAGAAGTTTAACGACACGAGACGTTTCCATTCGGGTTCCGGCCAGATATCCGGGATACAATTGTATAATAATAACCGATCGCTATGGACTTAAATTAAAGATTGCAAATCGATATAAGAGAATAAAACCAGTTGCTCCAAGTATCTAAAGCTGCACTTGTAACGATCTGACCTCAAGTCGGAGCCATTCTCATATCGTACGTAATGTCCGCTTTGGAAGAGCTCAAGCTCATCTTACCCCTCATGATTTTCTGACGCGTCCCCCAGGATTCGAATCCAAGACATGAGCTCTCCCAAAGTGGACAGTACGTACGATATGATAACGGCTGCAGCGCAAGGTCGGGTCGTTACAGCATTAGTCCTCAATTGTTACATGGTGGGGATTTTTATAATGTTACAAATGGAATGGTGACCCTTAGATGAAATTATACGTGGCCTCATCCCCTCGACCGAAGCATCAAATCCTAGTCATCATGTTGACTTTCCTAACTTTTCAAAGCATTTAATACTCTCACATCATATTGACAAAACAAGACATAAATACACTTTTACAAAAGTCACATCAATCATTCAAATAATATTTCTATAATAAATTCGGGATTTTTGTACGTGAGCTGTCACTAGCAGGAGTGCAACCTCGAACCCGGGCCTCTTCGGTTAGGCCCACCTCGGATTAGTAAAAGGGTCTCGAAAATAACCATGTGGGCCTCGTCTTCTATAGCTCGTGGTTCGGCAGGAGTGTGTCTGTGACTCCACCAGGTCGGCCACATGGCAAATGCTAGTAGCAAGTCACAACACAATTCATATTTATTTATTCATTAGTAAAATAAATTACGTTGAAGACTATGTTTTTGAAACCATGAAAGATATGGATCATACATAAACGTGTAACAAAAATCATATATAATCCTTTAAAAATCATATGCATTATTATATGCAATAAATACATACAAAAGAGAATTCAAAATTTTCGTTTCTTCAAAGTGCACAACTCATTTCTAACTACTATTGAGCGGCTTTCAAAGAGTTGAGAGTAAACCATATGATCGAGTCACATATTCGAATTGTCATATCTACTCACATGAAATCCAACTTGATCTAAAAGTTCAAAATGCTCAACTTTAGCAAGTATACAAATCCTTGTTTCTTCATTTATGGCCAATTTGGCATGACTTATAAAAAATAAAAAATAAATTTAATAAATTAAGAAGCTAATTTTGAACCTTAATTTTATGTAAGTATTTTGTCTGGATTTATAGAAAGCTTACTATAATAACTTTCTTTTGAAAAAAAATTCTACCAAAAATAAAAGCAAAAATAGAAACCCTGTCAAAATGGGTACTTTATTCTAGTGGTGCCAAACTGGGCAGGCCTAACATGGCCCGCTCAAGATCAGCCCGTTAAAAATGGCCCATTAACCGAGTGAGTCGGTTCATGGGTCAATAAATGAAAACCCTAGGCTGATCCGATTTGATTGTTTGTGCCCAATGGTTAACCATTGGGCCCGTTTAATATTATTAAAATAAAAATTATTTTTTTAAAAATGATTGATAAATATAAAAATTAAAACTAAAAAATTGATAGACATGACAAGTCGATTAAAGACTTTTTGCCTTTTACATGTTATTATAAATTTATTTTTTTAAAATGATTGATGAATATAAAAAATTGAAATTGAAAAACTAGTAGAAATGACAAGTCAATTAACAACTTTTTGCCTATTACGTGTTATACAAAAAACAACGGCAAACGGCAATATTGTTGTTGCCTTTTATACAAGACCTCTTGTACATAAAATTTATTGTATAAAAGGCAAATATTTGTATTGCCTCTTGTATAAATACAAAAAGTGTATTTCTCTTTAAAATTTGAAAACCTTTTCTTTAAGCTGATAGATCATAGATGTCCATAGCAATAAGTTGGATCTTTTTTGAATGAATTGGTCGGGCCGATCCTAGGGCTTACAATTTTTTTGCGGACCGATCTTGACCCGGCACGAAAACCATCACGGCCCGATCCTTTAACATACGTGGGTGATACCGGTTTCATGTCTTGGCTGGCCCGTTCTAACTGGCCCGCACATTTTGACACCACTACGTTATTCCATTACAAATCATGTTGGCTTCTGTCTGGTATTGATTTTATATATATATGGATTTCATCAAATTTTAATAGAAATTACTACATAGCTTAAATTTTTTATTCCATTATTTCTTGAGCAGTGCTACTCTACCAGATCGGTACAAGATCTGGTAGAGTAGTTGAGTGATAGGGGGGGTGGGTGATAGGGTTTTTTTTTTATTTTAGTGATAGAGCAGCATTTTCCTTATTTCTTTACGATTTGCAGAAAGTACAGTCATAAAAGGTAGTTGAATTCATTAAATTCATGGAAATTGTCATTACTACCATTTGAATGGTAAAAATAAAAAAGTGGCTGAATCAATTTTCACCTTTAACATAAAATAGTAAAATAGACATTTGAGAATAAAATTCAAAAAGTGATTTAACAATAATTCGCTTGACGATGCATTAAAAAATTAAAAAAGGAACCCACATGACAGTGCAAAAGTTCAATTTTTTTGGTGAAATAGCGCTGCCAGACGGGGTTTTATTTATTTTTTTTTTCCCAAGCAAAAGCTTTTCCAGAAGTCAAAAGCTGGTTGAAGTAAAAGAATATGCCAACTTACAGATCATTGGAAGTTAGAACGCGTATATCATTATATAGAATTGACTAGATCCGGTCCCGTCTACGGCACGAATGGCCCAAAAAAAGGACCCATTTTACGACCCTCTACCCTCCTCACCTTTGTGTTTAACAACCACGGTTCACCCGCTATAAATAATTTACACACTTTTGTCGTTCCCTTGTACCAAAGCCCCCACTCCTTCACACTCTTTTCCTCTCAGTTTACCCATACACACACACACACACATGGCTACAATGGCTGGTTTTGTAGTAATGATGGTGGCTACAGTTACGATGTTAACATCCTCTCAGTTTACCCCCACACACACACTCACATGGCTACAATGGCTGTGTTTGTAGTAATGGTGTTGGCTACTGTTACGATGTTAACCAGAGTTTCAGCTGATCCAGATATGCTTCAAGATATTTGTGTTGCTGATCTCACTTCTGGTATCCCCCCTCTCTCTCTTGGGTTGTTGTTTGATTAAGATTTTATTAAAATGTTTTAGCGGATTTTGCTAAATGTCGATGAAATGTGCAATCGAAAAGTTCATAAAAGTTGAGGGTCGGTCGGTGTGACCTCAGATTTTTGGCCTATCCCAAACCAGCAATGAATTAGAAATTAAATTCCTTGCATGCAGGAAGTTGTGCCACTAAATTCTACACCTACTCAACTTTAATAGGCTTCTGTTTTTCCTATTATTTTAGACTGTTTGCACGAAGGTGTTAGATGAGATGGTTAAATACGGTAGAAAGGTATTCAAGAATCAAGTATTGTCGTCGTTCATTTATGAAAATTGTAACGTATGCATAAACAAATCCAGTTTGTATAAATGTTTTAAGATTTTAGAAGAAGTGATTTTTGATTTCTCTTCTTCACATTTTCACAAATATTAATTCTATTTGGATATGTAAAATAGGTGTAAAAGTGAATGGATTTGCTTGCAAGTCCAATGTGACAGCCGAGGACTTCTTTTTTGCTGGCCTAGCCAAGCCTGGCGCCACCAACACCACCACGGGATCACTTGTAACCCTCGCTAATGTCGAGAAAATCCCGGGCCTAAACACTCTAGGATTGTCCCTTGCACGCATCGACTTTGCACCCGGCGGCGTAAACCCACCCCATACCCACCCACGTGCCACCGAGATGATTTTCGTACTCGAAGGCGGACTAGATGTGGGCTTCATAACCACAGCCAATGTCCTAATTTCCAAGTCTATCAAGAAAGGTGAAATTTACTTGCATTCATTAGCCAACTGCCTGGAACTCAGTCGATCGCCGTCACATTGTTTGCTGCAAAGCCACCTGTGCCGGACAATGTTTTGACAAAGGCATTCCAATTTGGTACCAAGGAAGTTGAGAAAATTAAGTCCAAGTTTGCACCCAAGAAGTAGACTCTGGGCACGTAAAACCTCGCAGATATATTGGGTACACGGCGTTAAATAGAATTTGTTAGTACAATGAATAAAATTTGAACTTATTTTTATCCAATGTACTCTTACCCTACATGCCGGTCTTGGCTTGTGTTGATACTTGATTGCAGAGTGGAATTATTTGATTTATTTAAATTTTCAGACAATAATCTCCCTTATACACACTTGTCCCTTATTTGAGATTACATCCTTATTACACTTCTTGTGATCCTTGCTGCAATTTCTAAAGAAGGTCAAATTTGTAATCAAATATTGAAGACAAGATCTTATTTTCAACATAATTTGGTGTATGTTTTGACAGCTCAACTAAAAACCCAAAAATTGATTTTTTTTTTTTTTTTTNACATAATTGATCTCCCGCCCACGGTGGACATGAGTTACGTTATACACCCATCGATTTGGCGTTACCACGTCGTTAGGTCAAACCTTTTATTTTTTGATTTGTCAAGAAGTGGCTTGACCCGTCGAGGTGGCATTGCCACATTGATGGTGGCAAAGTTTATCATACCTATTGTGGGCATGAGACCAAGTTTGCTAGAACGGATATGATAATGCTACCTCGATGGTAGCAAAGTTTATCTTGCTCACTGTGGACAAGAGATAAAGTCTATTAGAATGAATATGGTAAAGAAATTGGCATAAAGACACATTTGAAATTTGCGCGCCTTTAATTTTGTTTACATTACGAACTATTTCATAAAAAGTTTTGGGGAAACTCTTCTTGGCCCGGCTCAATGCTAGGCTCAAGAACAGGGCGCCCATGTGGAGCCCCCCTATTGGAGGGGGGACTGACCGAAATAGTTCGTAATGTAAACAAAATTAAAGGCCCGCAACTTTCAAATGCGTCTTTATGCCAATTTCTTTATCATATTCATTCTAACAGACTTTATCTCTTGTCCACAGTGAGTAAGATAAACTTCGCTACCATCGAGGTGGCATTATCATATCCGTTCTAGCAAACTTGGTCTCCTACCCACAATAGGTACGATAAACTTTGCCACCATCAATGTGGCAATGCCACCTCGATGGGTCAAGCCACTTTTTGACAAATCAAAAAATAAAAGGTTTGACCTAACGACGTGGTAACGCCAAATCGATGGGTGTATAACGTAACTCATGTCCACTGTGGACGGGAGATCAATTATGTCCATTCTAATGCTCCAAACATTCCTCTTTGCTTATACATTCACAAATAGTAAGCCTAATCTTGGATGTTATACGCTATATCCTAACTCATTAATTTCCCAAATATAAATGCTTATGTAATATTTGATAATTTTGTAATAAGATCAATGTAATACATACTTCTCTCCTCATCTGTAAAATAAGGAACCTTATAAATCGACCAGACGGGGTTATCAATTCCAGTGGATATTTGCACTCCCATTTTCAATTTCTAGAATCCCAAAGCCATTCGTCGGAAAGCATGTCTTTCAAGCAACAAAAATGTGGTTCACGTTTTCTATTCTAAGCCTTTAAGCAAAAAGAATCTGTGCAGCAATAGCTTGAAGCAAGAATACCAAACAATATAGCTTCAAGAAATAAAAAAGGACTGGTAATTAACTTCCAAATCATCCCACAAGAAATAAAATATCACAAAAGGTGAGAGAGAATAACGGGTGATTTTGGAAAAATTCATTAAGATAAAAACAATTGTATATCAAACAACTGTTGGAACAGACGCCGTAAAAGTGTGTTAAAAATGTATAATGTAACATGCTTGACATGGAGAAATCTTATTTCGCCCATTTCTAGTCACCTCCATTATCATATGTCAGACATAATATTACTTCATTACCATTTGTTGCTTGCCATCTGGAATGGCAAAAAGAACTATATGCTTTGAAGGTCGAATGAGAGGAACATCGCATCTGTAATACCCTTTTCTCTCGAGCTGTATGATGTCTCCACGCTTCAAGTTCCGCATATCGGATTCTCCAAGTGCTAGAGTCTCCTTCTTTGTACAGGGATTGACCACGTCAACGAAATCCTCATCTTCCTCAAGCTGCAATTACAAACAGCCATATAATGAGCAACCTACCATCCTAGGATCCGAAAATTTATCATTCAGCTCATAATGTGAAGAATTAAACTAAAATCTAGTTGGTCTGCCCAAAAAGATGAATGCATAAAAGGAAATAAATGACTTGCTAAAATATGTGTGTGTGTGTGTGTGTGACGGAAGACTTCACCTTCTTCTTCGTAATCAGATAATCAAAATCAACCAAATTGAGTCTGACAAGCTCATTTGTGTCCGGCAGCCAAGTGAGTTTCAACTTCGTCTTCTTTACATTTCCTTCGAGATGCAAAACTCCAACTAGCTCTGAGACCTTTCCATCCTGGTCCTTCTTGATTTCCTTTACAATTGCATTACCCCAATCCTTCAGAGTTACTTCCTCACTGACTGAAATTGACTCGGCATCAACATAATCTATCCAAATTCTATTTGAATAAGTAACCGCTTTCTCCCCAGCACCTTCATATTTCTTGTGCTTCGGTAAAATGCGCACAAAAGGATCTTTGGGGCCATCAGATAGAATCAGCAATACACGTCTTTCTTCAATGATAGCAGTATGCCTGGGACACACAGGATCGATGATCTTCTTATTGATGGCCCAGAGTTTGTCCCATTCCATGAGATTGAGATTCTTGGATGCCCCCTAAACAATTCGGAGAAGAGATTCAAATTCCTCATAAAATTAAACAAAGGGCTTTTCCTTACACCTTTTACTGAGCAGTTATTAGCCATATATGATGTAAGATATTAAAAAACTCAAGGAGAAGATAGCAAACATGATTGCTACGATACCAGACTATGAACAACATTTAAGATTGTTATTAATATTGTCATCTTGTTGAATAGTAATGGAGGTATGGTTCTGCTTCTGCAATATGGTGTGGTTCATGTCTCGAAAATAAACTTACTTGTTCCAAAATGAACTGTATCAACGCTTCGATCTTCAGACCCCTGCGCACTATTCCTTGGACAGTAGGAAAACGCGGATCATCCCAACCTTCAACTTTTCCATTTTGAACGAACCAAAGCAACTTGCGCTTGCTAAGAAGTGTATAAACCATATTAAGCCGACTAAACTCATATATATGAACCTTTTTGAATCCCATATCCATCTGAATTCTGTAATATTGATCGTTACGATCATGGTATTCACTGGATCGAAGTGCGTGTGTAATACCTTCCACGGCATCAACAAACGGACAACAAAAGTCATACGTTGGGTATACTTTATATTTAGACCCAATCCTGTGGTGGGGAGACAAATTGCAACGATAATACACTGGATCACTAAGTGCCTTGATAGGATCTTGCATGTCTAATTTCCCTCGGAGACAACACCTCAGAGGAGTCAAATTGCAGCGATAATACACTGGATCCCTAAGTGACTTGTTTGGATCTTGCATGTCTAATTTCCCTCGGAGACAACACATCAAACCCCTCACAGAACCGGCAATCATTTCGTTCCACAACTTTAAGTTCTCTTCCACACTGTTATTCCTGCACCTTGATTCTATGCCTTCCATCCTTTCATGCTGCATTTGCTCCCGTGGCGTATCATCAACATAGGCCTTACCCTCACGTATCAATCTCTCGGCCATTTCCATGAGCTGGGGAAAGTAGTCTGATGTATGTGTTACAGCACTATACTTAATCCCCAAGGTTTCTATATCTTTCAGGAGATTTTCCACAAACTCACTACTTTCTTTGTCCGGGTTTGTGTCATCAAAGCGTACAATCACCTGACCTGCGTACCGCTCTGCAAAATACTGATTCAATAATGCAGCTTTTGAATGACCAATGTGAAGATATCCACTGGGTTCTGGAGCAAAACGCAACTTCACTTTTCCAAACTCAGCTTCTGGCAGATCTATCTCAGATACAGATCGGCTTCCTGGCGTTTCATCTAAATTGACAAGATTCTCCACTACAGATGACTGAGTATTAGAAGCTTTTGGCTCTTTCAACTTCAATGTTACCGACTTTCCAGAGCCTTTTTTCCCAACATATGTTTGAAGAACTTCACTCAATGCAGCATCATATTCAGCAGATACTGAGTTGAACCACCGAACAAGGTTTTGGTACTTTTTAGATTTCCTTAAACTTTCCCATCTCACGCCAGTTCCTAAAAGAATATTCAGAAAAATATTTAAGTTTTTGCATAGCAGACCATCAAAGCATGGAAAAACCATGTTTATATTCTCTTATGAACAGCTTGGGTAGTATTACTGAAGGATCTAAAAACCGATGTGACAAGCACAAGAAAAAGCTGGAATATAAATTGGAAGATCAGTAAAAGATGACTACTGTCAGGAAAAACAACCGGACAAAAGGAAACATACTTATATAAGATGCACCAACAACAAGAGACTCAATTAGATAAATACAAACACTTACCGGCAAGGCCAGCCCAGATTGCTATATCTGCAATCGACAAACTGTTACCAACTAGGAAAGTATGTTGCAATAAAAATTTATCCACACAGCTGCATGCTCCCTCAAATTCAGAGCCACTATCAAAGATGGGAGCATAATCTAGCCACTCATCGATCTACAAGAGAGAAAAGGATGATAACAAAGTTCTCAAAATATGAGGGGAAAAAACAGCTAGGACAAAAGAAAAAACTGTATATAGCATCAAGTAATCACTCTACAGCAGAAAATCAGAATAGTTGGATAAATAAGTTTAAAAATCTTTGTTTGAACCTTTTCAATAAAGAAGAAAATGTGTAAAAAAATGCACCTGGCTCGACTGATAAGGATCCCGCTCGTAGAAATTTGGAATGCTGGAAACTCGACCAACATACCTCAGAAGCACATGTGCTCCCTGCAGCCTTTGTCTGAAAATTGATTCAATTAGCATGCCAGAATATTCTGTC